GGGAGCATCAAAGCTGCTGATCACCTGGCTGGGTCTGCTTCTGCACAGGAGAGACCATGTGACCGGTGCCTCCTCGCTCGTCATGTGACCAGGCGGAGTTTTGGGATCGTGAGGACGCAAGAGTTTTGGTGGGGGGGGGAGTGGGCACACCTGCAGCTGTATGTGGTGGGGCCTCAGCGGAAAGCTCGGTCTGACTGTCAATGTCACCAGCTTCTGCAGAGGGGAGACCATGTGACCGGTGCCTCTATTCGCCCCCCCCCCTTGTGTGTGTGGGGGTGGGGAAGGGGGGGCACACCTGCAGCTGTCTGTGGGGGCCCCGGCGGGAAGCTACAATGAATCCACTATTAGTATATGACCTGTAGGCAAATTCACTGCAAAACCCCAGATGGGGAAACGGCGAACCGCAAGAATTTCGCCACTGGGTGATGTAACGGCGCAGCCGGAGACGCCGCGCTCTGCAAGGCGCAGGAGGTTTTGAAAGTTCTGAGCGTTTAACCCCTTCCTGGCTCTTTTGCTGTACTATCCCCTCTGCAGCGGGGGATCCCCAGGTGACGGTGCATGAAACATTGAGGGGCCCCCGGGGATGACAGTCACGGGGCTCTGCTGCGAAGTGGGAACATCAGCTGAAAATATTCTTTGCAGCCGCCGAATGAAACGAGGCGCGGACCTGCGAAAGGTTCTGTGAGAAAGGCATGCTGGGAGATCCGTGCGGCCCATACTGTCAGCATGCATCTGGAAGAACACTCATCATGCCCCCCCCCCCGACGTGTTCATCAACAGAGCAGCTGCTCTATCTGAATCCCCATCTTAGAGGATCTGTCCACCCAAAATGGATAATTCTGGATTGGAGGGATGCCGGAGAGTTGAACCGTCCCCTGGTTTCTTAGCTGTGTTTACAAATGTCTGACACAGATCAGTCCCTGACCTTGTGATTTGCTACAAAGTAACAATGTTGCAGACTGCTCACTGGGGGAGGGGGGGAACTGAGTAAATGCTTCCTCCTGGCTGCAGCAGACTGATCGCAGGGGTTGGAGGGACTGAGGAAATGCTTCTTCCTGCCTGCAGCAGACTGATCACTGGGGTTCGAGAGACTGAGGAAATGCTTCTTCCTGTCTGCAGCAGATTGATCACTGAGGAAATGCTTCTTCCTGTCTGCAGCAGACTGATCACCGGGGGTGGGGAGACTGAAGAAATGCTTCCTCCTGCCTGCAGCAGACTGATCATTGGGGGAGAGGAGACTGAGGAAATGCTTCCTCCTGCCTGCAGCAGACTGATCACTGGGGGAGGGGAGACTGAGGAATGAGGAGATGCTTCCTCCTGTCTGCAGCAGACTGATCACTGGGGGAGGGGAGACTGAGGAAATGCTTCCTCCTGCCTGCAGCAGACTGATCACTGGGGGAGGGGAGACTGAGGAAATGCTTCTTCCTGTCTGCAGCAGATTGATCACTGGGGGAGGGGAGACTGAAGAAATGCTTCCTCCTGCCTGCAGCAGATTGGTGACATCATCTCAGCCTGGGCACAGTCACTGGACCGGAGCTCAATGACGGCTATTTGATGGACGGCTCGTGTCTGTGATGTTGGGGATTCGGCTCACGGTGACCTGTGACCTCTGACGTGAGTCTCTGGCGGGTGTGCGCGCGATAA